TCTGTTGAGTCTTAGCTAGATGACAATCATTTAATCAGCGCAGTCTGTAAATGGTGAATTGATATAAGTAAGGTCACAAATAGATTAATTTCATATAACTTGGGTACTGCTGTTATTTCGATATCGTGTGTTCTAAATATATATTCTTAAGAACTGTAATGAAAAACTAACTTGCAACTTTTACAATGATAATCCGGTCGGTGAGGTTTTATTATAGTATGACCACGAGCAATTAATAAACCTATAACTTCATAATGACCCAACTGTGCTGCCAATATTAAAGGTGTTACATGTTCTGGAAATTGAGTGGAATGTGCTGATCCAGCATATTCTGTCCAGCAATCCTGGATATACTTTTTTCTGAGCTTCCAACAACATTACTGTAAAATTAAGAGATATATGTATAGCTATACTAATAAAATTGTGTCATGAGAAATCGTTTCAAGAACACTATTTACCCAAAATTTTAATACTGTTATCTTGAACGTGTAATATGTTGTCACCAATTTTTATATGTGGTTGGCTCAACAAAAAATCCACCATTGCTTCGGATCGGTTTTGCACTGCTATGTGAAGAGCCGATGTGCCCTACATTGCAATTGGTAATGGTCATGTCATTAAATATAAGAGAGCGTTTCTATATATATTTTTTTAATAATTTAATACATCGATCGATAGAAAGTGGCAACCGTAGTATTAAGTAGACATAGAATACGAGTATATTGCGTATCTCCTATGGCACTCATAATAAGTTTTTACTTTTGAGAACATCTTAAAATACATGTAAAAACATATTATGCTTGTAACATGTATTTTAGTGGTAATAGTTGTCTTAATAGCTGTAGAATCCAAAATAATGTCTTGTGTTTACATGTATACTGTTAGTGGTCAGCTTGTTTGCCATTCCATGTTTTGTGTGACTTGCTTTACGTTAAACCTTCCCAATAAATGATAAAGTATTAACATGCATATTAACGCAGTTTATATTCAATTCGGAATGGCTCTGAAGATAACTCATAACAGTTTCCACATCATCATCGGACACTAGTTGTAAGAACTTCGCCTCATCAGGATTTAATTTAGGCAAGTCAATACAGTACTTTATATTTACATCGAAAACCTCTTCCTCCAAAAATGCAAAATTAGTTGTTAATACCTTATATGAAAATTAATAAGTGGAGTGGAGTATTAGTGTGGTAGTAATGGAATTTTTAGTGTGTTGTCACTCAATTTTTAGGTTTCTAAAACTGTTTTGGTTTAAAGAGTGGGTGATAGTGAAATTATAGGTAAAGGAGGCATATTGGTCTTCAAGAATAGTTGTTTAAGTTTATTTTGTGATGTCCATGGCGTTGTTCATATCTATAGGCAATGGTTACCACTATCCATCAAGTAGATTGTCAGGTTATTTGCATACATTGTATTTCATGCTGTATAAAAAAGTAAGGGACTTCTGAATGCATAATATTCCATAATCATAATATTGTAAGAAACTGGTTTATATACAAAATATACAAAAATATGCAATTACCGATGCTGTTTCATCATACTCATAAAATTCAGCCATTTTCGATTTAGTATTTATTCTTTTTCTTTTCTCTTTTTTGTTAGTTTGATGCATAATACTACATATAAATGCGTTTATTTTAACCTGTAAAGTTAACAATTGATATGACATACATTTTGATTGTTTGTTCTATTTAATGTTCAAACTAGGAGACATATATTTTGTATTGTTTAATTTGAATGGGCTTGGTTCGGTTTGTGTTAATATGGTATGTTTGTATGTTCTTTTATAATAAGTGAATATTTTAAGTCATCGATGAGTAAAACAAAACTTTATGAAGAATATAAGTAATAATTGGCGTTTGAAAACAGAAATAGTTTTTCATTCTTGTTCTATGTAAGTATTGTTTTACGTGTTGGTTTAAATTATATTGTATATAACTTATTAAGGAATAATAATTATTTTAATTATTTTTTATTTATAATGAGGTTAATGATTCTACATATTGAGTAAAACTTTAAAAGTAAGCCATGATAAAAGGTTGTTTAAAACATTAATTCTTTTTTTTATTATAAAGAAAAATCAAACCTTGAAGTCGACAAATTCACACTATTTTTTAATATTGATGATGAAAATATACCAGAATCTCTGTATCATAAATGACATGGAGATGTTGATTGTAGCACACCGTTGTCAGTTTAGAAGTAATAGATTTTTTACCAGCTATTTATAAAGAAGGTTTTTAGGAAAGAAATTATGTAAAGAATATAACTTTTAGATTTTTTATTTTTTTATTTCATAATTTAATGAATAGAATATTCTGTATTCAAAAGGGTTTGTTTAATCTTTTGTTGTTTTTTAAATCGTAATTTTTTTGTGATTGTATTCTGCTGCTTCGAGATATTGTTATTTGTTGAAAAGAATCCGCAAGAAACTCAACAGTTACTCCTTTCAAATTATTATGTACAACATAATTTTGCGTTTGTATGGGTACTGTAATTATAATTAGTATAAATAAGTTCTATTTATATGTATTATCAAATGGATAATAAGCAAATATGAGCAGAGCAGTAATCACAAGCAGCACCCGTTCACGAGTATGACGAATGAGCCAGTAATCAATAATTGCGATTAACCATTATTGAAAGAATTTAAAGATACGGCCTATCTCCTCGTCACCAGTCATGTATTTGTAGTGAGCGTGACTAACTTCAAGTTACTTGAATAGTTCATGTATGCAAATTACGTCAATACACTATATGATTATCAAAATATACATATATTATAAGAATTGAATTAACATTTTCAGTCAAAATAATTAATATAGATAAGTTGTAAATAAAAATGTCAATTTTTATAGATATTATTAATTAGTAAAACAATCATAATATAATATTAGTTTAACGTATAATATGTTCAATCTTAATTTGATCATACATTTTTATAATTGGTGTAATCGTCTATCCTGTAATATGCCTTTTTACCGAGGGTCAATTTTGCAGAAAATTAAAATTTTTTTTCAGGTAGGTCTAGGATTCAGGTAGGACTTATTATTAGAAGTTTATTATAAAACCTTACACAATTTCTCAAAAATGAATTACTGACCGTTTTAATTCGATCTGGTGGTAACAGCAATTTGTTTCTATTGCGTAAGCTTTTATTTGTATGGTCACTTACATTTGTCTATATATATAAAAATTAATGCCACTTTTCGTTGTAATTTTATAACTCAAGAACGGACTCGCCTATCCAAACCAAATGTTTAGGCTTTGTTCGGACTATTTAGTAGATGGTTTATGTGTAGTTTGCACAAAATTGGTCGAGCGGTTCTTCATTTATCAGATTTTATATAACAAATGAATTCAATAAATGGCGGGTCATTTTTTTATGGGATTTTTGTGTAAAATTTTTGTAAGATGGGGATTGTGCTGTCAAATTGAAATTTTTTTCAGTGTTGACAGTACAAGCATGTTGTTATGTCATTCATTCGGTCATTTCATTTTGGACGTGCTTCGATTAAAGCAAATTGTCAGCGATAATTATTGTTTTGTGTTTATATTTTTAAACATATTGTTGAGTGCATTCATACAAACGGTGAGTCTTAAATTGTTCAAATGTATACTATGTATATGTGTGCGTGGACTTTTCTCAGTTTTTTAGTAATTTTTGTTTGAATAAATGAATTTGATGTTAATTTTTTTTTATTATTTCACTTTATACGTAGCAAAGCACATATCGTGCCGCTAGTAAAATCATATAAGTTTAATTTTACATACATTATGTTTTCATATTTGTTTTGAGAGGCATCTGTGGGTAATTCTTTAAAACGGTTAGGTACTGATTCTCTTGAAACCACAAAAATTGATTATATCTCTTTTTTGTAATATGAATGTAGTTTAGATATATTCCGCTCTACACCACAATAATATGCTACAGATTACAATACTATGAAAGTAGCTAAAACAAGTTAAGCTATTGCAACATCTATTAACTGCCTAATCTTTCTTACTGCATAAGCAGCAGAGTTAAAACTACGCTAAGCTAATTTTGATAAACGAGGTTCCCTCTGTAATTATCAACAGTGATACTGAGAAATACGATATCGTTAACAAAATCTAAAGTTTGTCCATCTAGTAATATGCATGTATTAACCTGTCTTATATTTGAAAGTGTGAATGTAACGCACTTTTTACAATTTAGAATGAATAATAAATTGTATGCTGTAAACTATTTTAGGACAGCATAAAGAGCATCGTTAACCTCATCTGTGTCTATACGTTTTTATGGTCGAGTTGAAATAATAATAAAGTATCATTTGTAAACAATACTATATTAGCTATTCTCTCAACCATGTAAGATAGGTCGTTAGTATAAATTAAAAAAAGAAAAGGACCTGAAATAGAGCCTTGGGGAACGCCCATCTTTATATCGGCTCCTTTTGAATTTACATATTCACAGTTTGTATTTTATTTTTCAAATACAACTCGTTTAAGACTAAGACAACTTTTTAATACCAGTGCTTTAGTTGAAACAGAAGAGTCTGATCATTTACGCAATCAAATGCCTTTGAAAGGTCACAAAAAACCCTAATGGCTTCCTATGATCTTTCCCATGCATCAAAGATATGTTTCATTAAGGCAACTTTGGCATCGATCATCGACTTACTGGCAGTAAAACCGTATTGTTTACTATGAAGTGGTCTATTTTTGTTAAAATATTCAAGCATTTGTTTTAACGTAATTCATTCATTAGAATAAAAAATAAAATAAAAGTATTAACTTTACTTAAAACTGGCAAAATTGCAATCTGTGTGTAGTTTTCGAGTTCAGATTTATCCCCAGATATAATAAGGAATATTAACTTGCCATGTTTCATTAAAAGGGAATACACCATTGCCTTTATATTTATTAAAAATTGAGGCCAAGTATGGTGTAAGAATATCAATAATAGTATTAACTATTTTAATTAACATACCCCAGTGATCTTTGGTATTCTTTAGTTTTAACTGTCTGAACGTTTTTATTATTGTTTGTGATAAAATATGTTTAAAAAAATTTTGAAAAAAAATCGAGAGCTTTTTAATGACTACATATACTGTTTGTTTGTTTGTAACACTTTATTGTATAGTAAAGTCTTAAATTATGGGATACAGATTTCTTCAGAAAAGAATAAATACAATAGCGGACTTATCCTATAAAAGAGATCTCTTCCAGTTAATTTTTTAATGTCTACTAGAAATTGTGAATTGGGGGGGACAAAAAAAAATAGGAAATTAAAAAAAAAGAAAAATATTAGGTGTTACAGTTACAAGACCAGTGCAACATTAATACTAGACAACATAACACATCTAAATGGCACCTAATAAATCTAAAATGTTGATATGTCTATGCATAACACTTCTAATATTCTAAATAAGAAGGTACACAAATCTCATACTTAAAATTTACAAATATAAGAATACTGATAAAACAATATAAATATATACATATAAATACACAATCAAACTTACTCGTACATACATACAAGGAAACTAAATTACTGCATATGCAGACTAACCCAGAGTGACTTAATATAAATTTACATATAGGTATATTACGCATTTCTATTAGCTCTGCCTTGAGTACTTTTGTTATACATAGTATACGCAAGAGCAAAGTACGAGTATGATGTAGTCAGGATCTGAAAATATAATTAATAAACTGTTATGTATATATTTGTGATATTGTTTAAATTTTGTTACAACTAATAATATAATGATTATATATTAGAATTGCTATTTAGAATTGGTTTTGTAAAAGGCTTTTAATGAATTCTATGAAAGTTTAAAATTAATTATGATGTAGGTGTATCTTACCGACGAATAAGTAGCGAGTGACACATTCGTAAAACCCATAGCACTAAACGCAATAGGTTTTTGAGCTCTGTAATAATATTAAAAAAGAATATAAGAGTCCATATTTTGTTAAAAGTAGCTTTCGAAAAAATAAGGAAACTTTAGCATCATTTTAAGAAAGTGATTTACTTGTGAAGTTAAACATTGATTTTAAAGCCGTTAAAAGTTTCTTATACTAAACAGATGCACAATATTATAACAAGATTTGAACTATTTTGATGTTTAATCTTTTAGGAAAAGTTAGTTTGACTTTGAACACTTCTATAAAAGGATGCTAATGATTTCAATTTCACTCTGTAGGTTCATAGACCTCGATTTCTTTGTTCATTTTGTTTATTGTCTCTTTTGGGCATGTTTTAGCCTGTTGTTATCGAACTTGTCATATATTTTAGGAAGATACAGTTGGAATTACCTCTGTATAAGGAAAAGCAGAGCGCGACGACAGCGAGGATTAGTACGGTACCAGCAGCTATTATACGCTGCTACGGCGACGTCCGCATTCTGCAAAAAACAATTTTTTTTTATTATTTAAAACTTATGTTCATTTTTAATTATCTCTATGTACATGCACCTCCGTCCGCATTGACGTCTTCACGGGCTTTGTAAGTATTGCGGGCCGCAGCCCGCAGTGCAAGTCGAAACGCTGTGACGCAGTGCGCCATAAGCCCCTTGTTGGTAACGACAAATATAGTAAGTTCATAAAATTTTTGTTATTGTTACCTATCATATATATCCATCAATATAATAAAAAAATTAAATAAAAAAAACATTGGTATCATGCCATGCCATGTCTATCATATATCCTATGTCATATATCATACTATACTATATCACTTCATCTATCTATCTATCCTATTTAAGAGCTGCGCTCTTGTCGGTGGAGCTTTTGCCACTCACTACGATTATCACTTCATATATCTTCTATATTATTTATTATGAAATAAATAATTTGTGTCTGAAGATATTTGAGTAATATTATATAACACTAATAACTAATATTATCTATTTTAATATTTACCGCATGAATGATAAGGTCGGCGTACCAACACAGGATTCCAATTTGCATCAAAGCTGAACCTAAATATAGTTTATTACTGGCGGCCAATAATGGATCCAGCAACTGGAGAGCAATAGAATAATTGTTAACATGTGTATTCAAAAAAATTTAAACAAGTAATTGGTAAAAGTAAAATATCTCAAACAAAATACAAGCAAATTCTTATAAATGTTTACTGTGCTGTGTTACAAAATTTATGTTGTAAATGTACATCTGGTGTTTAAAAATAAATTTAAGTATTTGTAATACGATAAAACAATTTTTTTTTAACTGAAAAGGGTGTGTTAACCTCGTATATATATTGTAACAAATTAATGGTAAGTTTTGGCTGCAAAATGCAATACTTACGAATATAACAAATACGACACAACAAATGTTGATCGAGCTCAGCACAATATTTACAAGGAATGATAGTGAAAATGAGTCAGAAAGATCGTTGCAGTATCTGTAAATAAAAATTGGTGGGAATAAAGAGTTACTGAAAATTCTTAAATAAAATAACATTTCACACTTAACAAAATAAATTAGTAACAAAACCTAATAAGGTGTTGATGGAGCTTAATATTTGCGACTATATCTTTATAAATTTCGTCATCCGTCTGATCGGTTGAGGCTATTTTTTCCAATCGTCGTTGTAGCATGCGTAAAATCATGCCAATGTAACTGGCCATCCCAGAAAACAGTAGATCAGTGCTCACCATAACCCATACACACGTTTGTCCTAAAATACGTAAGCACAATGATAATTATTAATTATTGGTAAAAATATACAATATACTTTTAGGATAATACAAATTATGTACAGAATGGATAAAAAAACAGTTGTTATTTTTTTTATATACTATAATTTATATACTACTGTTAAAATGTATTTAGGATTATTAATACAACAAATATAGGATATTTATATTTTAAACGTAAATTACTTACACCAATGTAAATCTTACCCAGGAATATTTCGAAGAAATAGACAAAAATGTGTGCCAAGGGTTTGTGTTTATCGAATGGGTACCAAGAGTGCCATACGAAGCCCATTTCAGGGTTTTGTCCTAGCAATAACTCGTAAATGTATATGGCAACTGGAGTCAAGTTATAAAACCACACGCCAAGTACGTTTATAGCGAAGTACCCTAAAATACAAACACATGTATAGCGACTTTTTTGGTTCCTCATAAAAACAACTAAAATGGAAACATATAATTTCGTTAAGTCTGCTGTCTCATAGTATCGACTTTTATTGTTTTAGTCTAAATTTTATAGGGAGAGATAATTTTTATAGTACGGTTAACTTTTGCGTTGTTTACACATTTGGTGCAACTTATGTCGAAATGTCAGCAAGAAATTCTGTGTATTATTTATCTGTAATCGCGTCGCGTTAAGTCCAGATAGTGAATATAAAATACTTGTGGTATGATGTTAGGCTCAAATTCATAATTCGTTCGTTGGTTTAGAATTTGTTATATATTAGATAGAAATTGAGACAGCAGACAGAAACAATTTTAGGAATTAATAGTATTTAAATTTGATTGATCTCTCCAGAAAAAGATTTATTTAAGTATCAAACGTTCGAATGAATTTTTGCATCGCATATATCAATAAAAATGTCGTGTGATTAGATTTTTAAAAGGTTTCACAACTATTTTACAATCTTGTATTAAAATGTAAAAGAGCAACCTTCATTTATATCATTGTTTTTTTAGGAAATTTATTATATTGGGCTTTCAGATGAAAAAGAAAAACACATTGACTTAAATGCGTAATTTTCCATTATTATATTATTAGTATTAAGAAATCAATAATAATGATTAAACATTTTAAATATACTTCGCGTAATCTGATTCCTGACATTTTAAATAGAGTATTTCGCCTCTTTTCTAAAAATAATAATATTGTTTTAATATTGTTAAACATAAAAAAGTAAATGAACTGTATCAATATACTATTTTAGGTTACATTTATGGGTGATGTGCAAGGTAGCAAGCGTATTTTCCTTAAAAGTTTGTGCTTCTTCGTCTGATTGTGGATTCGGCCAAATCACAGCTAGTTCTTCAATTAATATTTTAAATTTATCTTTCTTGTACCACAGCGCAAATCCTTTTGCGATACCTAGAAGTATATTAATCACTCTATTAGTTATGGTACTTTATGAAACTTTGGATATTCAAAATGGAATCACATTAACTTTCCGATTTCAAATATATGAATGAAATGATAAAAACTAAAAATCAGTCATTATCATTAGGAACATTTCAATTAATTATTATTCACTGTTGAATATACGTTGCTTTATTACCGATCGTTAAGAAATAATCTTACGGCACATCTCATACAAAAGTAATATGACCTGTGAACATGTTTTTGTATCATAAAATCCAAATTCAAAATTTAATAAACTAATTTTGATGAAATATACCAAATAATTAATATTTTTTATTGTGGTAAAATATATAAGTACGTGAATGGCGTCGCGAGCATAGTTAGACACAATACTGGTATGTAGGTATAATGTTGTTCATGGTACTATTCATATCAAGAAATTATACCCATATCATATAGAAAAAAAATATACGTTTCTGAAATACTAGCATAGAAAAAAAGTGATGATATATTTGTACACTTTTTTAAATAAAGAATCCCAATAACACTTCTTACCTAAAGCACCGTATCCAAAAGTGTGAAAAAGGGGAACAACGTCCTCCACTTGTGGTGAATGAACCATCGTGATACCTATGTAAACTATATCACCGAAGACGTGATAACATATAGCACAGACAGAAAGAATGAACATTAGTTTCTGGATAATATAAGTTGTCATAGTCTTTGGATGTTCAAAAGATAATCCCATACATTTCATACAAAATGTGGTCAGAAATAAAGATTCCTTTATTTCGGCTTTAGCTTTTAATATTGCTGAGTTGGACATTCTGAATGTATGTAGATATTTTTTTATTAATATATATATAGTTAATATATAGCAGTAGCTGAAAATAATGTCTATCACTTTCGGCTCTTGATTTAATTGTGTTTGTTGTGATTCGTAGATATTGAAAGTTGTTTAAATTTTCTTGGAATCGTATTTAATATTATGAAAATTTAATAAGTCCCAAAACTTTAATTTTCGGACACTGTAATGAATGAGTGTATTCAAGAATAATGTACATTGAAGTACAGAACTTTGACTTTAAAGTATTCTGAATAGTCGAAATAATTACATTCCCTATACTAATAAAGTGGAGGATGTATAAAGTTTAAAATAATTGAAAATTACAGTGCCAGTTACTTTATTCGAATAAATAATACATATCTATAATACATATCCACAGTATAAAGAACTACTTTTCATAACTTACACTGTGATATATTTGTGGTATATAGTATATATGTTTAGGTAGGTCCATCTACACAGAAAAATGAATATAATATAATAATTTTTAGGAATTTTCTGTAGCGGTAATTTCGTTCGCGTTACCGGGATATATTGATTAATTGATACAAAAGATAGCCTTTGCTCTTTTTTATTCAAAATAGTACGTATATGCGAAATTCTGTAACGATTCGTCGTTAAAGCGCCAATAGGTAATAACTAAACAAACTTATATTCATATGTATAATATTGGTAAAGTTAAGGAGTTGGCCACATCCTCGCTTTGAATAAGACTGTATATTTTAACATTGAAGTGTCGATTCAGATTATGAAAATGAATATCTTTTGTTTTACAACTTTAAATAATTAAAGATGTACCACAAAAAACCCGACTTCAATAATGACAAAACTAGTTATTGTGACCTAAAAATATTAATATTCCATTAATATTATTTTAATCTTAAAATTACTGAACAGATTTTGATAAAATTTCTATAGGACCAGTCTGTAAGTATATCTTTTCGGACAAAATAAGAATTTTCCAAATCAGTTTACAACTGGTGGAGTTATAAGGAAACAAAACAAAAAGGAAAAAAATAAAACCGATTTGAGATCTTTCTTATTTTTGAAGTCTGTTGAAAATGACTTTGAAGTTATTTTTCATAACAGTTCATTAGTAATTTACACAAGTGAATCTATTTTTTTGACAATATTTTCAATTTATACATAACAAGTTGCTGAAAGCAGTTTGTAAATTTTACATTTTATAGGTGGATATTATATAATATTCAATATAAAATGTAAAATAAAAAAATTTCTTATAGGGCGCATTGCATTTGATTAGAGACATTTGATTGATAAATTACTAATAAGACAGGTTGTGGTAAGAAACTTATATATATTTATATATACTTATATATATTATAAAGCTTTTATAAGAAGGAATTAGAAATGAAATTACGGATTCCCGACTTAGCGTGGGAACGAGATTAGATTTAACTATTTTGTTTTACAGAGTTTACAGAGTTTTACATACACGGCAATTTTGTTTTTTCTTATTATTTAGTTTGAAACTTAATAGATTATTATTTAAGCTTGTAAACATTTTTCATTATGGTCTAAATTTTTGTTGTCTTTGGTATTCAATGTTTAAGCTACGTGCTATTTGTATTGTTTTACTTGAATGGGATTGTTTCGGTTCATGTTGTCACGGCACCTTTGTATGTTCTTTCACAATTAGCGAATACATACCTTACGGAATAAAGCAAAATTTTAAGAAAATGTAGGTAATCCGGTTTGAAAATTGAAACACTTTTTATTCACATCTAAGAAAGGACCAGAGTTCTATGCAGATATTTATTGTTGGTTCAAATAACATTGTATATTCATTTAGAAGGAAATAAAACAAAATTTAAAGATATTCTTTTATTTTAATTTTTATTTATAACATAAAATGTAGCATTCTGAAAATTATTAACAACATTTTGTTTAGTAAAGTGACGCTAGATGACGTTGTAAACAAAGATACATATATAAGCTTGCTGTTATAATTTTGAAATACGAATGATACATAATACCTATAATAGGACGTATATTTTAAGCGTAAAGCGTCAAAGCGTTATTTGAAAACAGCAAACCCAAGAACAGTAGGACAAAATTTCAGTGAAAGGTAGAAGTGAAAGGAAATATGTAAATACCAGTTGAAAATTGTATAATTAGATCTTAATGCACAATTTATTACCAGGAAAAAAAATAATATGGGTATACAGTATCTAATATATTACCTATTTATCTATAATTTCACCAAGATCTATATGTACCTATCATTACTAGTTAGGCAGAGAGAACTGCTTCCCTGAACAAGTGGCAAACGAATCTATTAATAGATATATTTTCTTTATTGTATTGTTGTTGCTGTCATTATATTTAATAACACGTATTAAGTACTTATTATTAAGTAATTGTAAATTGGTGGTTGATTGACTATTTCAAATTTTTATTATACATAGTATAAGCTAAGGCAAAGTAAGAGTATGACGTAGTCAAGATCTGAAAAAAAAGAATAATTGTTATATTTTTAAGAGGCTTCACATATATTTTTATAATTTAGATATCATTTAAATGTTCATATTTGAGTTAAGCCTGTGATATCTGTCTGCAAAATAAGCTACGTTGCTATTTGTTATGTGACAATCTACATTTAAAATTATAAAACGCCGTGTGGTTTGGCATAGAATGGGCCACACCTTCCTTTCGAGGAGAGGCGACTAAGGGAACTTATTGTTGAGAGAGAATGGCAGGAGCGTCCGTCTTACAACATCACGTCTGCTAAGTGTGACAACTATTGGCATTACTCCTAAATAGTAAAGGCATACCTATAAGAGAGGCTTATGTTACAGCATTGGATAGTTAACGTTTGATAAAATGATGATGACGAAACACATTTATACTAATAAATGCAACAATTAGGTAGGCTATTCAGTTTAGATAATTTGTAAAATGGTCTCTGTACATAAGAGATTTATCTATTTATTTAAAAAAGAAATATATTAAGACCTAATCGAAACTAGCTTTAAAAAGTAAATGCAAAATACATAAGGGCTCTCTACATAACATACGTGATCACCAAGGAAAACATTTTCCAATATCCCATAGATACACAGACAATAGCTAAGAACCTTATGAATATAACATCGATAATTGTATGTTATATGTCGAAGATAATTATATGTAGTCTTACCGATGAATAAGTAGCAAGTGACACATTCGTAAAACCCATAGCAGTAAATGCAATAGGTTTTTGAGCTCTGTAAACAAATTAAATAGTTATCTCTAGCTATGATGCCTACTGCTATATGTAGTGTATGTATTAAGACAAGGGTTTCTTGTGGTAACTTTTGATTAATTAGAATTACAGTAACAAACAGCGAATAAAATACACTTATTTAATATGTATCATTACTTCATATATACAAGAAAGATATTAATTTAGCTATTAGTAAGAGTTACGTGTTGTAGTGGTTTACTTCTATGACTAAAAAACTTTAGAAGACGTGAGGTGAGTGAAGGTCTGATAGACAACAGAACATTGATTGTTAAATCAAATTTCCGTCAAATTCTCCGATAACGGTCAACGCCGGCGGTAAGTTCGCACTCGCAACGTTGGATTCGAAAATGCCTGGTGAAATATGGGTGGTGTCATTAGAGACGACTAGGGAACATGGCATTGAGTAAAACCCTATACCAAGCCTCGTGGCCTCCTTTATGGGAGGTACTTCTGGCCAACAATGGAACGATAATGCTACGGTATGCTTTGAAGATGTCGCCCTCTGACTATAGTGCCGTGGTAGAAGAATGTTAACATTGCTGTATACTGTTAGAACTAGGCCTACATACTTAATGTTTAAATCAAAATAATGCCTGACTGTACTACAGATAGCTATCTACAACAATGCATTATAAATAGTCTATTTAAGCATATCTTAAAAAGGGAAGGCAAGGTTATTTTACAGTCTAAACAGGAATATGGAATCTATTGCCTTGAATATACTTCTTTAATTCTATTTATTGCCTCCTTTAGGCATGTATTAGTTTATCGGCGATCTTGTCATATATTTTGTAAAGGTACAGTTGGAACTACCTCTGTATAAGGAAAAGCAGAGCGCGACGACAGCGAGGATTAGTACGGTACCAGCAGCTATTATACGCTGCTACGGCGACGTCCGCGTTCTGCACAAAACAATTTCAATTATTTATTACTAACTACCAGATATATTCGAAAATAGAAAACATTGTATTCTCTATGGAATTAATATAATGAGTTTACGAGATTGTATGTTTGAGATGTTCCATTTTTTAATGATGTTTTGAGTTACATATGAGTAACACGGAATTGTCGATTTTTTTGTCGTTATCTCGTTATTAGAAGCGACCGTATTAATACATTTATGTTTTGAATTAGATTTTGAAGAGGCATGCTCTGTTGCAATGCGGTAAACGTAATATTACATATAGACACGAACAATAACTTATGGTGACCATATATGATGGTTACTATACAATACTGATTACAATATTGCTTATGCATTGTCGTTTCTGGAGACTGAGGTTATGCATATAATGCAAGAGATTACAATGTATATTACATCAGTATGATAGATACATCTGTTTAATGCTTATATTAATTATGTTTTAATTTATCAGTAATATTTACCGCATGAATGATAAGGTCGGCGTACCAACACAAGATTCCTATCTGCATTAAAACTGAGCTAATATATAGTTTGTTACTGACGGCCATTACCGGGTCCAGTAACTGGAAAGGAAATAAAATATTTTTATCGTATTATCTTATTTTAGTAACATAATAAAATTGTAACTATACGATGTTTGTACTTGAGAGATTTTTGAGAAAAATTGATATCAGGACTCTTAATAAGGACAATAGACGCTAAAATAATCATTCTTGGAATTTTTGTCTGTTTATTAGTTTGTATGTTTGTTCCGGTGTCATGCGCAAACTATTGTATCAAATTGAATTCGGTTTTCATAATCGTATTTCTGAGGATCTAACTTAAAATCTGGCATATGTTTTATTTTAATATGCCATCTAGAAGGGATTATTTATTTCTAAAATCCACTCGTGTGAAGTTACGGGCAAAAGCTAGTTTTACATAATATAAAAATAGTATAAATTAAAAAAAACAGTAATATTTTAATAATTAATTATTTATAATATAATTTTTATTAGCCATAAAATGAACTACTTACGACTATAACGAATACGACGCAACAAATGTTGATCGAGCTCAGCACAATATTTACAAGAAACGACAGTGAAAACGATTCTGAAAGGTCGTTGCAGTATCTGTAAAGAGTTAGACATTAGTAAGGTTTTATTTACTCATTTTATTTAATCAAAGATTACAAGATACACTTTTACGTCTACTATGGAACTCAAGAATGATTATCAGATATAAAAAAGTATTTTTGTAACTGTTCATTCGTAAGATATACATACATAAATATATATTTCTTTAAGTTCTACAAAGAAAAAGTAAATCTGTATATGTTATAAGTGTAAAGTAAATCTGTATTTTATCTAAATAAATTGATTGAAAATCCTGAAAATATTTGCGAAATAGTATACTTATTAGTTAAAATATTCTAAATCTTTAATAAGAAAACTAAAATATCGTTATAGTCGTAGAATACTGATGGATCTGACAAAGATTACATATAAAGATCCGTCAGTATTCTACAACTATGACGATATAGTGGGATATGACATCAGTGTCGAAAAACATTCTTATTTTTGATGTCTATATACATACGTAACGCGAAATTAATTAACTCATTGTGTTTTGTTATTTTCGTCAATTGTTTTGAATTCATCCGACTTTAAAAAATAATATTCTTGTTATTTACAAACAAATTTAATTTAATGACGATTGTAAAGTTTCTAAGATCACGTAGGTACGAAAATAATGGTATTTATAAAATTTATTAATATAAATTCATTAAATCAATAGCAAACCTAATAAGGCGTTGATGGAGTTTAATATTTGCGACTATATCTTTATAAATTTCGTCATCTGTCTGCTCAGTTGATGCTATGTTTTCCAATCGTCGTTGTAGCATGCGTAAAAGCATGCCAATGTGGCTCGCCATTCCAGAAAATAATAAGTCAGTGCTCACCATAACCCAAACACATGTTTGTCCTGGAATAAGTTAGTAGGTATTAATATAATAGGTAGTAGGTTTTAATATAATATAATATAAGAGATAGGTTTAGAGAATGAGCGACGGAATCGATACCATTTACTTGTTTAGCCTTCATTGGTTTATAAGAACACACGTCGAATCCTTATACCCAATCTCCTTTATAATAAAGTTTGCGGAGATATCCTTTTCATGCTGTATAGTAATTCTGACTTTTTTTTCAAAAGATGAAGAAGCCAGATCATTGACTCGTCACTCCAAAGCTATTTAGTGAGGTTCATGTTAGGTATATACACGATAGTGAGAATATGTATAGGTATCGAAGTATAGTGAGAATGCTATGCGACATTCTTAAGCTATTCCACTCTCTCTATGTGTGGTCTACAATTAACATGCAACGGAGACATATAATTTCCTATTTAAATCAAATAGGTACTTTTTTAGGAGAATAAGTATTTTTTTTAAGGATTTCTTTGAGAGTTATGAGACACTCTTGTCAGAATCGATTAATCGACGAAAATTTGTTACCAATACACTAAAATAATATTATTGGTCTTTTTTCTCCGAAAGAGGATCGTCGGATATTTTTTTTTTAGATGGAATACAAACAGATAGACGTATGTATGATTTAATAATTATAGGTACAATATAATCTAGATTTGTTTTTCGAGAGCAGCATGATAATAATATATAGTTTCAGACATCATCGCGTCTTTCTATAATTATCAAATCATATATTTGGGAGTTGAAATGTAAGAAGAGCTTGTAATCTTAAACTGGATCAATAGCTGCTTACCAGCAGTAGTAATGCATTGGAACAAACTAAGTGTTGCTCTGAATGTGATAATAGTTGTTATATTGAGATAATTATATATTATTCGAACTTTCACTTGTAACTGTTAATAAAACAAACATTTAAATTGCGAATTGTATATCTAAATATTATTATGTGTAACGGTTATCTACAGACTTGTTCTGATTTTCCTGTCAATAATATATTTACATTTGTGTGTCAATTAATTAGATTTTAATTTTATTAGAGTTTATTCTATTCTGGGTTTTACTATAAGAGATAATATATTTTAATATGATCTTGGCTCAACCAAGCTTTGAATAAAGACCTGATGATCTAAAAACAGAGATAAAGAGGGGGCTTTTGTCTATCAGGGAGTCATGAATCAGGTTTAAAATTGATGATTTTATGACAGATAATACCTACTTAGCTTGTTTTTAGTTTCAATATTTTTTTGTTAGGATAAAGTTGGAAAACGCCTTCTGTACTATCAGTTCACACCTTAAGGTGTGATGGATGAAGATGAAGATAGGTCGGCCGGCGCATCGTGATTAATTTAGGAATAAATCACATTTGTTTTCAAGCAGGACTATGTGGAGGTCCACTTAATAGGGCATATTGTTAGCAATGTGCATTAATCCTCATTACTAACAATCCCTTTCTTTTTAAATAAGTTATGGATTTTTAGATAAACTGATCAATATTACATCACTTATGGTTGCGAATCGAATTATTAATAAGTAATAATGAAAATATTTATTAAAATTCGTTTAATATATTAGTATTAACGTGTGAAAATAAATATAGACAACATAATATAGGATCACATACCCATATTAAAAACTATAATATATAACTTTTTATACTAATTTACCTGGATAATATGAATTACTATAATAAAATATAAAGTATTTTCAACTATAAAATAGTGTTATAATATAGATATCTTACCAATAAATACTTCGAATAAATAAACAAAAACGTGTGCAATGGGCTTCCGTTTATCGAACGGATACCAGCAAATCCAAACAAAACCCATTTCTGGCTCTTGTCCCAGCAACTGCTCGTATATATAAATGACGATTGGAGTAAGACCATAAAATAACATTCCAACTATGTTTATGGCGAAGTACCCTAAAACACAATAATTATGTCAATATTTATTTATTGAATATTCCGAATACTTATAGTATCTTGGATAACATTTCTAAATAACTTAATATACGATTTATAGTCTTATTAACATTCGGCGTATATTTACTGGCGTATTCAACTGAATAAATCAATCCACTTGGCGCTATAATTATAGTCAGTAATATTGGGTTATTTAAAATGTTACTTTGTAAACATATGTTACTCTTTCTAAATTTACTCCTAATTACTGATTTTTTAATGTAAAAATTATTATTATTACATTTAAAAATCATTTATTATTTTTTATATTATTAGAATTAAATTTAGAGAACGTTTCAGATTGACACAAAATTATGCAGAATCATAATTTTTATATTGAATATCTAGTGTGCAGGTACACTGCATACTCACATTTTTATATTTGATGATACAATTATGAATGACAATATCCAGAAATACTATTATAATAATTATATATTGTTATAATAATATGTCAGATCCTTTCAGAATGGAACAATTGGAGCAATGAAATGTATATAAAAGTAATGCGACCTACATTGATGGGTGATAAGCAAGGTAGCAAGTGTGTTGTCTTTAATAGTTTGCGCTTCCTGGTCTGATTTCGTATCCGGCCAAATAACAGCGAGTTCGTCAATGAGTTGTTTGAAATCATCTTTCTTGTACCACAGTGCAAACCCTTTTGCGATACCTGAAAGCATATTTAGTACGAGTTTTATACTAAGCAGAATCGATGTCAGCTAAATTGCGACATATTAATTGACTCGAATAAAAGGTTGTTCTTGTTTATGCTAATTAAGTTAGATTCATTTGAGGTACAAGCCGAATTTTATGACGATAGGTTGAGATGTAACCACTTTACGAGGTAAAAAATAAACAAAAATGAGGAATTCGATTAAAATATGAAAATCATATTCTAATAATAATATATTAGACATTGTATGATTGGAAGAATTTCAAAGCCCAATAAATTACCAATATGAATTGCCAGTAATCATCAAACCAATGTAAGCTACCGTTGTACTAAATGCTCCTCTGGAAATGTGCTATATGCGCGAATTAAAATACTGGCCGCTTAGATTTCTTTCATTTATATTTTATTTTACTGCAATTTTTTTTATTCTCTAATAATTTGTAATTAGTATATTGCCAAGTATTTGTATGTAACATGAAATAAATTTACTATTATTATTTATTAGTACGGATCAATTATTCAAAAAAATAACCTGTATCATCAATTTTTTGGCCAATCATCCATTATTTGACGTTTCCCTGTTATAAACTATTCGAAAACAATTTGTTGGTGCATCTGATAGAAAATGGTATCTTGTAAAGATTATAGAATATTATGAAAATTAAATTCTGTGAAATAAATGGTGGTACCTCATACTCTGCTATTACTAAAGACTATATGCCAAAAACACTAGATACTTACTTAAAACACCATATCCAAAGGGGTGAAAAAGTGGAACTACGTCCTCTACTCGTGGCGAGTTGGCTAACGTGATGGCTATGTACACAATATCACTGAAGACGTGATAGCATACAGCAGAGACAGAAAGAAGGAGTACCAGTTTCTGGATAAAATAAGTCGTTGTACTCTTTGCATCTTCAAAAGATAGTCCCATACATTTCATACAAAACGTGATCAGAACTAAAGAATTGTTTATTTCCACTTTAGCCTGTAATATTGCTGTATTTGACATTTTAACTACTGCTTTTTTTCGAAAAAATTATAATAATTATAATTCTTTATTTGTGTAATGATAAATATAAGAAATATGTATTCAGAAATATCAGTAGATATATTTCAGTTGTTTTGTTTGCTCGTTATTAAAAGTCTACTAGCTTAGGCTTTTGATTGAAATGTGGTTATTCGGATTTATGGACATTGAATTATTTTTTAAATTAGCAAAATGCAAAATTAATAGGTTTATAATACTTTTTTTCGGACATGAACATGTAGTAGAATGGGCGTATCTAAGAATAATAAATGTTGAAGAATAAAACTTCGTCTTGAGTGGACAGAATAATTATACCTGATATATTGATATGGTGAAAGGTTTATAAAGTTTCAAATTACCTATTATAATATTACTTAGTTATTTTGTAACTAGCGATCTACCCCGGCTTCGCACGGGTGATAGATGAAAAAATAAATTTGTATTTTATATTAGCTTTAATAGATAAATTTTTGATACCTTGGATTATATTATTGTAAGTTTCGTGGGAATCTCAATTTGTTTAAGTATATATTACCTATATTACTCGTTGGTAATATAGTTTACTATAAGTGTAATAATAAATGAATAATATAATATTCAATATGAAAGAATAATGTACGGAGACATAACACTATACCATAACACCACCATATATATTATCTGTGATATCAATGGTGTTATTAATGTATAGGCGACAGTTGTGATCGATTCTGTGGTATTTGATTTAAAACAATAAAAATTTAAGCCCATTAGTCGGTTGACCAACAACTTAATAGTCGAATGATATAGTGCGGATAGCGGAGAAACAGTAGATGAGGATAGCACAGGTCCGTTATATAAGTGGTGCGACATTAATACTGAAACTATTTATTTTTTAATATCCTATGTTATTATTTATTTATTTTAACCTACAAATGTATAATTTCCTTATTTATGTTATAGAAAATAATTCTTGAATGGAATATCAGTACCGTAATGGGATAATCTCACACATGTTTCATAGCGTGACGTGATTGAATTGAATCATATTCATCATTGTTGCGGTACAAGATATGCGTGGATACTAACACGCGAACCGCTTTAATTAATATCCGATAGGTTGAGATCCAGACGTTATTACCACTATAAAGGCAAAACCGAGGGAAATTTGCACTGGCAAAGTCGTATGGTAAATATCTGTACAATGTGTTGTGCACAAGAAAAAAGTATTACTTTAAGTATGACCGTACTAATAGTAATAAGAATGTGGAAGAAATTTATTTTAAGTCGAAATTCTTTAATTTTCATAATGTCATCAGTATCATATCTCTATTTCCTCTTTATTGTTATAATCATTAGCTTATTGATTATCCATTACTAAATACAGGATCCTGTTTTTGAAAAGTTTAATAGTTAAATAGCCGTTGTGTATGTACACAGGGCTTATTTAACTTTCAAACGTTCATAGACACTACAAACTTTTATATCGGAGTGATGTGCATATTTTATTAATAAAATACTTAAGTAGCGTACACACAGTTACCTTTTTTTTATACAACTTAGAATGGCGAACAAGCTGACGGTCCACCTAATGCAAAGTGGTAACCGTCACCTATAGACATAAGCAGAACCATGAACATAACAGTATACTGTTTCTCTTATGATACTCCCCATGAGTTGCCATTCCTGAGGACTCGGGTGTTATTCCTCTGTACCTTGTAAATTCACTGCCAAATTTATATAATTATCATCACAAATATAATTATACTAATACTGAAGTTGTTATACGAATTCATTATAATTTGTATAAATGACCTAATTATAATTATTGTTGTCATATTAAGATAGAAAATATAAATATTCATTAGTAAGATCAAATATTTCTTCTTAATATTCACAGATTAAATATTATACAATATTATAGTGTTAAATTTCTTATAGTATATTTATTGCCTTGACATTGGGTTCAGTTTACATTCACTTACCTTGACCCAAGTATGCATAACTGCTTTCTTCTATTGGGGTTATTATTGAGCGTAACGTATGCGAAACATCAATTAATGATTATTTTTCTACATATCGATTTCATTCTAGTTTTATACATTACTTTTAACTTTTTTCCCAAGGAGGGTTGACGTAAGTCAGTTGGCCGGTCGTGAATACAAAAGTCAATACCTTGTGTAATGTGAATAAAATCATGATGATGATGATCATAATTTGTTTATAATTTGATCATAACTGCTTATTTACATAATTTACAGGTAATATAAAGGATATTATTGTGATTCCTTTTTTAGGGTTTCCTACTAAAAAGGCACAAAGGAACCCTTATGGGACGATTTTATCTGTCCATCTGTAAGTAATAGTCATCTGTAGCGCTAAATCTCAACAATTACTAATGCTAGCGATTTGAAATTTAGAATAGCTTTACTAATTGTTTGTCCGCATATATTGCCATAGAATAAATTTAAAAAACATTTTTTCCTTTTTTTTTGCTAGGGGATTCAAAGCGGGTATTTAATATTTCAAAATAGAGATAATAGTTCCAGTGGCTTACCAAATGAAAGGACTTCATTTGTAAATTTTCAAATTGATTTTTATTTATTTTTATATTGTGTAGTTTTTGGTTTATGTTTGAAAATGAGAGAACAAATACAATTTGTCCCCTTATATCCGAAGTTTGTAAAAGTTTTAATTGTCCTGTAATATGTATGTAGGAAAAATAAAATGACGTTTTTAATAGTACTAGTTTCTGAGTAATTATCAAAATACCTTTAAAAACAATGTAGTCCAAATTTTAATCAAAATTATGATCCAAAATACGAAATTATGAATTAATAATAATAATAACTGTCAGGTGCCTGTTTAGTATAAAAAAAAGCAGTAAATAAGAACTCTTTGTTTATCTATGTATGTACGGAATCCTCGGCGTGCGAATTTAACTCGTATCTGACCGATATTTTCACAATTATTAAAAATTTTGTTTAATTTTAGTGTAAAATAAATGAAGGTAAATTATTTAATTAAAGTGTGTTGTCGGAGCAAGATGATAATTATTTATATAAAAACCTTCTTTATAAGGGAGAGTTTTGCCATTAGTTGCCACGCTTGGCAGGCGGGTTGACAACTGCACTTAGACGTTTGAAGATGTTTTAAGAGGGACGCTGCAGCCCATTTTTTGCCCTCCCTTAGTCGGCTCTTACAACACCCATGAAATAGGAAGGGGCGGCCTACTTTATTCGGGAACCACGCGCTATAATAATGGAGGCATAATACCTACTTAATGTAATGTAACTCTTGAGGGCTATGATAGTTAGTCCTCGACAATGGTAATGCATTATTGAAAAATCTAGAAATATTTTGGATTATGATCACTGACATTTTATTTAATGCAATTAGGAAACGCAGATTAAATTTGACGCAAAATGGTAACCGTCGCCTATAAAAGTTATCATCATCACTGTGTGTAAGGAAACCAGGCTATATAATGAACCCTTGCACTCTATTACGTTTCTAGATACAGCAGTTTCGGTTGTGTTTTTATCAGTCGATTTCTTGTTTACATGTTTAGACATTAAAAAGAATTTCTAATATAATGACTATAGTATGAGGTTCTTGAAAAAGGTGTATTAAGGTTTTTTTGGTGTTGGCAACGCGCACTTGGCTCCCCTAGCCAGTGTTGCAGGCCATAGGCTACAGTGACTGTTTATCATCAGATGGGCTTGTGTGCCACTTTTGTGATATATATATTAAATATGTATTATATTTAATAATGTAATGAGGCATTTTTAAATTTTAGATAATAGAAAATGTAAATAGGTACATAATTTCGGCCAACAAAATGTTAGGTAGGTAAATATTAAAATACTAAAACAACCAACAATAACAGTAGAAAGTAAATATTCAACCTTTGACATGACACGAACATTGTCATAATAGAAATCACGTGCAATGCGCGAGCAATAATTTTTAAAAATATTTACTAGTTGTACCTACCAATGTCATTGTAAAATTAGTGACATTTCCCAATATTTTTAACTAGTTATGCTTATAGACAGTTAAAATGACAAGGCACTAAATGTTAATAGTGTTTACATATTTTATTACACATGAGTATATCTACATAAATGCATTATTTACAGACTGTTACTAAGGGCCTTTAAAAATTATGTATTGAAACCTCGGACTAAAGGTTTTTTTTTGTCACAATATAATATTCCATTGTGGCTTGGGTTGCATTGTATCTATCAATAAAAGATGTCGTCATTTCTCTACAGATACCGAAGATGAGCATTTCTTGCTGCGATCGTGTTTTTTTTTTGTATAATTGACTTTTTTCAGTTATGGGCGGGCATCGACACGAATTAGAGTGATTTAAGATTTTCCCGCTAGAGATCGCGGTGTTTCGGCAAATTTAGCACGCGGCCCGCGGTCCGTGGCGGGCTTTACAGTTCGCAACCGTTACGCGACGATTAGGCGGCGCACGCGCAACGCACACACCGGGACCCTGTCACTGCGACTACCTTAATGCAATCACATGCAGTTGTCAACGAAATTAATCGGAAATCGGATTGAAAAAGTTACAAATGAAGCGTAGTTTTCTATTAGATTTCTAGTCTTATTCTATACGTGATCTGCTAAAGAAAGTATAAATCATGCCTTGAGATTGGATTCTAACTGATGAGAGCTTCACATCTATTTATATAATTGTAAAGAACAAGGTCAGACATTTGATGTATCTTTATTATATGGTGTATGTTGATAATTATTTTAAATGTTACTCAAAATTAATTGTAATTGTTTTTGTGCGAGTTGTATGGAAGCAAAGTCTAATGTGAAAATAATAATCGTTGAAATCTCGACCAAGTAAAAGTGCTTTGTACCAATGTTTGGACGAGCGACCCAGATCTATTCAGTGGTAGTATGCTAGTGTTCGCGCAAAAACATCTACTTAATCAACACCAAAGGAAAGGTGCCAAATCCATGTGAAATTGTTATGTGGTTGTACGGTTGCAAAATCATACGATTCAATAGTTACGTTATGGTTTTCTCATAATGACATAACATCGACTGATAATTGTACACTTGGCTTTATATTTGGCTTTATAAATATTTAACAAGTTTAGTAAATAGTTTAAATACAGGTTGCCTTTTCGAAATTAGACGAAATTAGAATCTAATCTTTATGCAGTGTCGTTTCGATAAAATGTTATATCAAAATTACCTATTTATTAAATATTGTCATCATCATAGCAACTTTTAATTATCCACTGCTGATAATTAGCCTCCCCCTAGGGGGGT